AAAAGAAAGAAAAAGAACAGAAAAACGAGAATTTTACAGTTATCCAACAACGATCGTCGTCATTTGGGAACGTCGCCGCAAGCTGCGTCATCGGCACAACTTTTACACACTACTACCACTACTATTTACTATTTAACTACTAACTAACTACTATTACTATTAGTTTACTATTACTACTACTATTTACTACTACTACTACTACTACTACTATTACTACTACTACTACTACTACTATCACCTACTTTTGTCGTGTTGTGTATTACTCATCCGACAAATTGAATATATCTAATTCTGTTTCTCTGAGAACCAGATACCACATCTCCTCTCTCTTTCTCTCTTTCTTTCTCTCTCTCTCTCTCTCTGTCTCTCTCTCTTTCTATCTGTCATCTTCCTACGAGAATCCAATTATACAGACGCAACTCGTACAACCTCATCCTCGAAATTAGTTGAAACCGATCCTGTCTTTGTTGCAGATGGACATGAAGTCTGTCGGATCGTTCTACTACGAGAACTTTGTAAGTGCAGAAATCTAACCACTGAATCATAAAAAAAAAAAAGCTGATTACATTAATACATATAATAATTAAAATCAATTTTCATCATTTTACTCCTTCGCTTTTCGCGAATCGGGTTAACTTTTATTTAAAAAATAAATTATACAGCACTGTATGTAACGTTGATTGCTTAACGTAAAATTTTACTCGCGATTGATTAAGCATGCTGGGCTTGAATAAAAGTAAAAAAAGTTGAAGTGGAAACTCGAAACCGTTCGTTTCATATCAAAAACAACCTTGAATTTTTAATTTTTAATCGAATGAAAATTCCGAAAATACGAAACGATCCTTTTTGTTTTTTCTCGTATGGAAAAAAAAAAAAAGAATTAATTAATTCGTTGCCAAATCGTAATCGATTTCGAGTTCAATCGTTTCGATGAGAAAAGAAAATTAAAAAAAAAAAAAAAAAAAAAGAAAAAGGAAAGGTAGAAAATTGAAAAGAGAACGAACCGAAAGAAAGACAGAGTCGAGGCTTCTTCGACGAGAAGAAGCCTCCACTCGCTCGAGGTTCTCCGAACCATAACGACGAAACCATTGTTCCAACTAATCGCGAACTCTTTCCCACGCTTCTGTTTTACAGGCCTTCCCAGGAATGGTTCCGTATAAACGACCGGCGGGCGACAAGTCCGGCATGCCGGTCTATCAGCCTACCGGCGCGACGACCTATCAACAGTTAATGCAGCTGCAGCAGCCCTTCGTGCCTGTGTCATGTGAGTACACTGGAACACCACCCCTACCCACCCAAACCTCTAACCAATCGGTCGTGCAACCCCCGAACGTGCAAAGCAACCACCACGCGGTGGTAGTTCAGTCCTCCTCCTCCTCCCAAGGAACCGGCGGCGCCACAGTCAATAACTGCGCCGACGCCAACAATGGCGTGATGATGGATCCCTGCAACAACCCACCGCCACCACCTCCAACCGCCGACAATAACAGTAACAATAGTAACGTGAATAACAAGCAGCCGAATCCAACGCAGAATCACGATGCCGAAAACGCGCACAACTCCCCCGAATTGAATCACGCGAGTCCCGCGACCATTTCGCAGCAACAGCAACAGCAACAGCAACAGCAACAGCAGCACCAACAGCAACAACACCAACAGCACCAACAGCAACAGGCTCAGCAGGCTCAGCAGCAGCAACAGCAGCAACAACACCAATTGCAACAACAGCATCAACAGCAACAATTGCAGAACCAATTGGCGCTGTCGGCCGCCAGCGTGCAACCCGCGATGAGCCCGTTGACCTCGGTCGCCGGCCTAACCTCGATGCCAGGCGTGGTCATGGCCTCGATGGCCTCGATGACGAACGTGCCCTCGGTCACGAACATGGTGTCCATGGCCAACTACAACGCCACGAACATGGCAAGTTTAAACAT